GCAGAAAAAAGCCGGAAGTGGCTCTGTGGCTCAAGTGGTAGGTCACTAGCCTTGAGCTGAAGAGCTGAGGGAGAATGCCCAGGCCCAGAGTTCAGCCCTGATGACTGACAGAAAAAAGAAAAAAAAGCTGTTTGTAAAGAGGCAGCATGTGCAGACTGACTCCCAAACCATGGAAGTAAAACCTCTGCAGCTTTAGATCCCCCAGAAGCACCTTGTTTCAGTGACCTTTGTCATAGACTCAAGAACCAAGCAAAGTGGCCCTTTGTATCAAAGCCCAGTGAGCCATTTTAATTTGTACAGGAGCTACATAATCAAGCAACACAGCCCCAGATAACTATTTCAAGTATAAAATTAAGCTTTCAAATGAAGACCTTGGTGAGATGCTCTTTGTCTCATATAACATGTTTAATTTAGCCTATATATTATTTCTGTTTGTCATTTGGTCAGTGGTTTGATAATACTTGAAGCTTTTCTTTGGGTGATGGTTAATTAGAGAGAAGAGTCTCACAGACTTTCCTACCCAATCTGGCTTGGAATTTTCATCCTCCGATCTCAGTCTCCTGCGTAGCTAGGATTAGGCATAATCTCCTGACTGCCAGTTTAGTTGAAGCTTTTTAAACAAAGGCTGGCTCTCAGGTACCTTAATCCACATAGATTCTCTCTCAATCATTTGTTTTTATCTCACTTCTAGCACAGACTGGCCACTCAGCTCTCCTAGCCCAATGGAGGCACCATCCGTTAAGATTCGCAGAATGGATCCTTTCTCTACAAAAGAACATATCGAAATCATAGCTCCTTCACCTCAGAGAAGGAGGTCTTTTTCAGTGGGGATTTCCTGTGGCCAGACAAGTTCATCTGAGAGCCAATTCTCTCCTCTGGAGCTCTCAGGAACAGACCAAGGAGATGGCAGTGGGTCAGTGGATGCAGCACACAACCTCCAGGACAGTTGCCTGACAGACTGTGATGTAGAAGATGGTACCATGGATGGCAGTGATGAGGGGCACTCCTTTGAACTTTGCCCTTCTGAAGCCTCTCCTTATGTAAGATCAAGGGAGAGAACCTCTTCTTCCATAGTGTTTGAAGATTCTGGCTGTGATAATGCATCCAGTAAAGAAGATCTCAACATTAACCGGTTACACATTGGCAACCATTATGCTAATAAACTAACTGATTTCAAGTATTCCAGCAGCAAATCTTCTGAAGCTACATTGTCTCTTTCCCCTCCAAGACCCACTACTTTAAGTTTAGATCTCACTAAGAACACAACAGATAAGCTTCAGCCCAGTTCACCAAAGGTGTATCTGTACATTCAGATGCAGCTGTGCAGAAAGGAAAACCTCAAAGACTGGATGAACCAACGGTGTACCATCGAGGAGAGAGAGAGGAGCATATGTCTGCATATCTTCCTGCAGATCGCAGAGGCAGTGGAGTTTCTACACAGTAAAGGACTCATGCACAGGGACCTCAAGGTCTGTAACTGTGGAACATCACACAGGGGTTTCAGTCTGATATTTGGGGGTTCAAAGCTGTACTTGCAGTGTTTGTCAGTTTTTCACTGAAGGACCTACAAGAACAGCGGAGAGTAAAGGCATCTGGAGCAAAAGCCTAAGACAGGGCTTGCTTCAAGACTAAGTCTCTTGTACCCTCAGACAAACCATGCATTCTTGTGTACACTATGTTTATGTTCATTTTACTGTAAAGAGTATCCCTTTTAGTTCTGATTGTTAAAAGAAAAGTCTCTATGTAAAATCCACAATGAGTAAGAGTACCTCATACCTATAATCCTAACTACTCAGGAGGCTGAGATCTGAAGATTGTAGTTTGAATCAAGCTGAAGCCAGAAAGTCCATGAGACTCTTAACTCTAATTAAGCACCAAAAAAGCCTGAAGTGAAATGAATTCAGACCCCAGGACCTCAAGCCCCAGGACTGGCACAAAAAAAAAAAATCCACTGTAAGCAGTTAAACCATATTCTTTCTATGACTGTGAATAACCCTGCCACAAAAACCTCCAGAGGTAGTGAAAGGGTCCCAAATGGAAAGAAAACGAGTCTTTGCACTAGCCAGCTCTGAATTGGTGCAGCAGATCACCATGCTTTGTCCCCCAGAACTGTTTAAGCTTTGAGGGAGAAGGTGGATGAGAAAAGGTAACAAATGGTTACCCAGATGATTGTAGTTCTAAAACCTTATATTCTGCTTTTATTGTATACAGTATTAAATAGTGTAGGCATGCTGTGTGCTAATTTGCATAAAATTCTTACTAAACTACGTGGCATTTCTATAGTATGTATTTCTGAAAATAAGTATGAGAACTTTTAATTTCTGCCATATTCTGTGTGCTATGAGCATAATCAATAGGTATATAGTAACTGTATAAATATTTTTCTGATGAAAGTGATTTAAATTCTTGACAGCTTTGGATTGAAATATTTTTAATTTAATTTTTTTTTTAGTTTTTGTTGTTTGAGGGGCTTTTTTGACTGAACAGGGCATTGAACTCTAGGCCTTACACTTGCTAGAAACAGGCTTGCCACATGCTCCAGCAATTTAGCCCTACCTTCAATCTTTTTACTTTATAATTTGTTTTTCAAATAGAGTCTTCATTTTTGCCTGGGCCAGCCTCACCCCAAGATCCTCCATGCTCTTCCTCTCAAGAACCTGTGTTTATTGGTATATGCCATATATTTTAAGGCGTATTTATTTTGCCAGTTCAGGGGCTTGAACTCAGGGCCTAGGCACAAGGCTAGCACCACTTCTGGCTTTTTCTGTTTATGTGGTACTGAGGAATTGAACCCAGGGCGTCATGCATGCTAGGCAAGCACTCTACCACTAAGCCATGTTCCCAGCCCTATTGGAAGTATTTTAAATTGTATTTTATGTTACCACAGTCTTTTGCTTCAAGCACCAAAGTAGAGGTTGGAACAAAGATTATTTTCTTCTAAAATTAGCTGGTAGATTTTCAAGTTGGTGAGTACATTTTAAGGAGATAGGAGAGATAAGAATTAGAAGTGATTCCAGTATAATTGTTCGTTACATAATTACTGTGCTTTCAGTGATTTTTATGTGGCTCCAAACTGATTACCAGGAATTATTTTACACTGAATGAAAAGTTTAGAGAGGAATCATTTTGGATAGAGAAGACAACTTATAGAAAAGCAGAACCATGATCCTTTAACTTGAGACACTAATAGCAGAATAGGTTTATATGCTAATCATTCTCCATTTGGTGAAAAACTAGTAGGTAATATGCTGATTCTCTTAGGTCTTAATGCTTGTTGCACACATCCACATATCCCAGACTGAAAAAGATCCATTTTGCTTTTAACTAATAGTGAATAGTCTGATTTTATAATGTAAATGTGATGTTGGTAAATATTTACTTGATACAATGTTGTGTAAAGATTTTTTTGATACTTGTTTGTACACCAGAAAAATTCCTTGAGGTTTATTTCTTCCTTCCTTAGTGTTTCTAGAAATCAAAAACATTCAATTTTTTTCCAAATATAACCCACGTTAAGGATTTCTTGTGTGCTGGGGGAAAAAATGCCACTAAGATTTTTCTAACCCCGTTGAAAAGCCTATACATTTTACTAGCTTCTGATCTAAGTCTTTGAGCTCAATGTTAAACCTCTATGCTTTCCTTTGTCTTTTATTTTGGTCACATTTTGCCATCTATCCTTTACTTCCTGCCTCTTCAGGTTTTTTTCTAGTCGTTCACTCTTTCCTTAGTTTCTCATATACTGTATTCTGAGAGATCCTGTATTTCTTTCCTTTCTCTCTCTTTATACCTGGTTTATTTATCCTCTTGTTTCCATGGTGGCATGAACCATGTCAGGTTTTTTTTGTTTTTTGTTTGTCAGTCCTGGGGCTTGAACTTGGCCTGGGCACTGCCTTGGGCCTCTTTGTGCTCAAGTGCTGCCACTTGAGCCACAGAGCCACTTCCAGTTTTTCTGAGTAGTTTATTGAAGAGTCTCACAGACTTTTTCTGCCCCAGCTGGCTTTGAACCATGATCCTCAGATCTCAGCCTCCTGAGTAGCTAGGATTACAGGCATGAGCCACCGTGCCCAGTCCATGTCAGTTTTGTTCACCTCAGTACAGTGTTCAACATAGTCCAAATGCTCATCAGTTAATACCGATTCATCCAGAAAGAGCTTTATTGGCCCTTACTACTGTATCCTCCTTGAGTCTCTCCTCACATTTCTTATTCCCATTTTCATGCAGGCTTTCCCCATATAGCCTCAGGATGGCTGCAAGGGATCCTCAAGTATGCCTATTTTTCTTCTTCTTTTTTCTTTTTTTTTCTTTTTGGTCAGTCCTGGGGCTTGAACTCTGGGCCTGCACGCTGTCCCTCAGCTCTTCAGCTCAAGGCTAGCACTCTACCACTTGAGCCACAGCCCCACTTCTGGTTTCTGGTGGTTTATTGGAGATCAGAGTCTCACGGACTTTCCTGCCCGGGCTAGCTTTGAACCACAAGTCTCAGATCTCAGCCTCCTAAGTAGCTAGGATTACAAGCGTGAGCCACCAGTGCCGGGCTTGCCTATTTTTCTTTTAAACCTTTTAGAGAGATTTTGGATGTGAGGAGCACATTGGTCAGAAGTCCTAGGCCTTGTTCTGTTCAGTAAACCAAGGATGTAAGGCTGTCTATAAACCCGTTTCTGGGGCAGGGAGTGGGATTATATGGCTTGGTTTAAATACCAGTGGCGCTGCCTAACAGGAAGAAGAGAAAGCAAAGTCAGAAGACATCTGATAGTGGAACACATGCTGTCTGCTGAGTTCCATAAGTAACTGCCATCAGAAAATGAGTAGAGAGGAAAGATGAAGGCAGTACAGGCTCTTCTGATCTCTGGCACAGGATTCTTTGTGGAAAAAGTGCTGGTTATTACCATAGATTTTATTTTTATATAATTTTATTGCCTCAAAGTCAAAATTGTAGAATGATATTTTAAAAATAGAGAACAAAGTGGCGTTTTCTGACAATATTTGAAACACAATGAAACTCAATTTTGTGAGCTTCCTTTTTCCTTATTTTCATAGCTCTGTTGTGGTACCTGCAAGATAGAGTAAACTGATTAAAAGATGACATTCTTCATGTCAGGCATAGAGTTTGAAGAACCTGTGAGTCATTTGGCTAGATATATTCTGTAAGTAGTTTTATAGGGAAGTTTAGAACTCGCAGGATTGGAGACGTGGCTCAATTGGTAGAGTGTCAGATTGCAAAAGTTCAAGTCCCAGTCTCAGACAATCAAGAAAACAAAGAGCCAAAGAGCCAGGCACAGATGGCTCACGCCTGTAATCCTAGCTACTCAGGAGGCTAAGATCTGAGGATCACAGTTCAAAACCAGCCTGGGCAGAAAAGTCTGTGAGACTCTTGTCTCCAATAAACCACTCAGAAAAAGCCAGAAGTGGTGCTGTGGCTCAGGTGGTAGAGTGCTAGCCTTGAACATAAAGAGGCTCACGGACAGCACCCAGGCCCAGGCCCTGAGTTCAAGCCCCAGAATCTGGGGAAGATGGGGAGGGGGGAGAGGGGAAGAGCCAGGCACAGATGGCTCACACCTGTAATTCTGGCTATTCAGGAGGCAGAGATCTGAGGATCAAGGTTCAAAGCCAGCTGGGCAGGAAAGTCCATAAGACTCTTATCTCCAGTTAACCACCAGAAAACCAGAAGTGGAGCTGTGGCTCAAAGCAGTAGAGCAATAGCCTTAAGCAAGAAAGCTCAGGGACAGTGAGTGCCCAGGCCTTGAGTTCAAGACCCATGAGGAAAACAAAAACAAAATTAAGTCAGTAGCTTGGCATATGTGTTGTACAAATGACAGCACAGAGTGCTGGTTAAGAGTTCTGATTTTGATAATCTATTTCTTCTGTTTCTTTTGATAGTCTGTTTCTTCTGTTTCTTCTGCTCAGACACAAACCAAGACTAGTTAGCACTCATCATCAGATAGTAATTCCCTATGCTAAATGTTGGACACGATAGTAAAGCACAAGGTCTTTTCCTAGGAGCCAAACAGCCTCAGTTTGAATCCTGGATCTACAGTTTGTTGGTGAATAACTTTGGGTAATTAGTTTAACTTCAGAGCCTCAGTTTCCAAATCTGTAAGATGGGAGACTAATAGTACTCATGTGAGCGAGTTGTACTACATGTGTTAATAGAAATGAACTGCTTAGAATAGCACCCAACTGGGCACCAGTGACTCATGCCTATAATCCTAGCTACTCAGGAGGCTAAGATCTGAGGATCAAGGTTCAAAGCCAGCCAGGACAGGAAAGTCCGTAAGACCCTTATCTACAGTTAATTACCAGAAAACCAAAAATGGTGCTGTGGCTCAAGTGGCAGAGCACTTGTCTTGAGCTGAAGAGCTCAGGAACAGTACCCAGACCCATAGTTCAAGCCCCATAAACAACAAAAAAAGAAAACAAAAACAATAGCACCCAATATATTACATACAGGTGCTACATATGCATTTGCTATTATGATGATTAATATAGCTATTATGGCTTAAATAAAAAAATGTAGAAAACATTGCCCAGAGAAAGTACACAGACCATTAAGATTGGGGATTAAAAATGCTAGACCCAAGGGGTTGTGAATCTCCATGGGTTTAAGTAGATAATAAATCCAGCTCTCTCTTCTATGCTTCCCTTTTCTTTACCCATAGTACTTGTCTGGCATTGAAAAAAAAGTTATTTTCATAAAAAGAAAAATAGAATTTCTACCTTCATATATTTTCTGCAATCACTTAAATAATATCCAGTACTTTCTCTCTTTGTCTATACATACTCACTATTGTCTATTTTGTTTTTGCTAGCCTTCCAACATTTTCTTCACAATGGATGATGTAGTCAAGGTTGGAGACTTCGGATTAGTTACGGCAATGGACCAGGATGAAGAAGAGCAGACGGTTCTGACGCCAATGCCAGCCTATGCCACACACACAGGACAAGTAGGGACCAAACTATACATGAGTCCAGAGCAGGTGAGTCTTCCAGGGCAAAAAGCTAGATATTCCAGATGAATCTTTTTCTTTGTTCTCATTAAAATACCCATTTACATACCATCTGAAAATGATGGAAAGTAGCGTGCCACAAGCAACATACCTCTAACTTGAGTTGGAAATGGAGTAAGGAAAATACAATGCATAGAACATGGCCTTGCCCTCTGAACCAAAACCTAACAAGAAATGTAGAATGAGACTTTGAATGCCTCCTCTCAAACCCAACTCTAGTATATGCTGTGTAGACTGTATAAACTGTAGTAACAGAAGCACATTCTTGAGCTACCCTCTATGTTAACTAATAGGCACCTTCCAGGCTGTACCATGGCAAGACATAGACATGCAGAAACCAAGACAGGTAGACTTATAGGAGGCTTCAAAGGACAAGCTCTATAAACTGGGAGCTCTATAAACTGCAGAAACAGTAGGAATGGGGGATCCTGAGAGCTTAAAGTACTAGAACTGGCCACCACCAAAGTAACGATATTCACAGACTGATCATGCTTAAATCAATGATTTCATACTTTGGATCTCTGTACTTGCCAAAAAAAAAAAATGGGGAATTTTGTTGTTGTTGTTTTGGGGTTTTTTTGTTTGTTTTGTCTTAAGCAAAATTCAAGCGAGGCACTGGTGGCTCACATCTGTAATCCTAGCTATCCAGGAGGCTAAGATCTGAGGATTGCAGTTTGAAGATATAAGGGTTGCCGAAGGGAGACCTCCACACAGTTCAGGCAGAAAAGAGTTTATTTGGGAGAGTCAGACTGCTGGGCCACTGCAGCAGCGACCAGGTGAACACATCCAAGAGACTATTAACTTCAATTAGCCAGCAAAGAGCCAAAAGTGGAGGAGTGGCTTAAGTGGCAAGGACAAGTCTTGAGCGGAAAAAGTTGAGGGACAGTGCCCAGGCCCTGAGTTCAAGCCCCAGTACTGGCACAAAACAACACAACCAAAAAAACAAAAATCAATGAGTGATATGTGCTAGTGGCTGTTATGAATATAGATGTCAATTTGAAATTGAATGTTTTTGGGAAAATACTTATAATCTAAAATATAGGTATTATAATAAGCTGAATTAAATGAACATATTAAATGAACAGAGATCAAGAAATGAAAGATGGTAAGAACAAGGAAAGAGTAGGGATTTGTTTTTGATAAACATACATTCAGCAAATAGAGTTTAAAAATATGTCTGTATCACTACA